TAAAAATTTAATGAAAAGTTAATGCAATATTTCAAAGATACCCAGATTGTTCAGAGCATATGGCTGTCGGTCAATATCTGTGCCAAGATATAAGCATCTTATTTTTGTTTGTCATTTTGTGGGGATGATACACCTTTGTTATAGGGTATTTCTAAATCTGTATCAATTTTGAAAATTGCATGTATAAATGTATTAATGTAGAATAAAGAATAAATTATTGTTATATACAATTGTATAATTGAATAAAATGTTTTTGTTATACCTGATTGAACCCTTTATACACGTCACATAGGTGTTTCTAGCCTTGCCTAAAATACGTTTGTGGGACTATTTATAAACTCGTGATATTTGGCCATTAAAGTTTAAAATGGGTGAACAGCCTATAAATTGTAGGACTGTGTGAATCACCAAGCCATCCTTTTAAACTTTTGACTGAAACATTTTGCACTTAATTCATGAATCTAAAAATGTTAGCCATGAATCACAAATGGAGGTCACGCTATTAAGCAGAAATTGAATGTGACTATAAGATATGTTTTGTGACAATTTTAAGAAAAAGGAAGCATAAATATGATTTCATCATTTTTTGTGTCTTATGCCGAATTCCAATTCAAGTCTCCATCATTTTCTACACTATCTAAGGGCTCTCTGGTAATCCTAGTCAGTATTTCAGCGAAAATAGGGTGGGGAGCATAATAAAGTGGTTTTCGAATAATTATATATATAAGGCCGATGGCCAGCTTTTGCCAAGTGGGGTTGCCAAGGGGTTTCAAGTATTTGACAATTTTGGCCCAGAATTGTTTTAAAGGTGCTCAAAGTGCTAAAAAGCTGCATGATTTTGGAGAAGAAATTGGAGAGGGGGCAACATTATTTGGATGACAAACTTGGGATGACATTTAAACAAGTATTCAAAAATTATTGTAATATTTGATAGCTGATATTGACCACTGATTCCCAGTTATGGTCATGTAATAAAGGTATTTATCTCAGTTAATCATGTATCTTTGTGTTATTAACCCGATTTGGTTCACCTACATTCACAATCCATACCATTGCCATATAAGGCAATGTTCCAAGAAATGATCTCGTCTCTTTATGTTTTTATCTCAAAATTTAGAGATGATTCAATAATTCAAAGTTTTAACCCCCTCCCCCTCTTTTGAATGAGCATTGCACGAGTTTCTTAATTTTATCAAATATATCAAGCCTGTCACAAACATACATATTTCATTTACTACTTTTATGCCGGACTCATACCTAAATGTGAATTTGCTTTATCACATCATATTTTCGCCTTTTTGTGAAATGTAGAAAATCTTTAGACCCTGAAAAAGTCAATAAACTTTCTACAATTAACAACTACATTTAATTTTTGTTTCTTTTTATTAGTTCTTTTGGCACAATTCCAATTTAATTTTGAAAATGAAAGAATAGCGAAAACCAATTTTTTTTTAAATATTACGAAGTTCTTTTGAGACCTTTTTCAGAAATACAAAGATAAATATTATTCCTTCCTATAGAAACATATCAAAATTATTGTAAGAATATTACAACATAAGTAGCTGCTAATGAATGTACAATTTACTTGATCAAATGGTGTTAATGTGCGTTGAAATTAGGGCCCCTATGACGTACATTCCTTTTATGAATTGGCAAATCCCCAATTTTGGTATCCTGAGTTTCAGAAGATGAAGTTCTCTTTTAAGAACCAAATTATTGGAAAGAGTACAGATTAGGTTATTTAATTATGTCACCATCAAGACATCATTTCTGTGACTGATGTTGAGCATTATTGGTAGGCATCTGTAACAATTCATCTGTAACAATCGTTACACTTTCGTAACCATTCGTTACACATTACCAAGTGGCGACATTTTGTCATGTATTAATGCCTTGTTTTTTTTCTATTGTCTTTTGAATTGTGAAACAAAATATTTATTAAATACATAATTATGTTCAATACTGAGAAGAAAGGGCCACCAGTAGACGAATGATTAAACCCTTTGTTGTCCTGATAGACATATCACAATAGCCTGAATGCTTTACATATTGACTTATTTGGAAATTCTTCACAAGGGGATTATATATTGTTTACTAGTTGTATACTGGTTACTCCTAGCAAAATCAACAATCAAAATACCTTGTACAAACTCTGAATATTGAAGGAATAAAACTGGTGGTATGTTTAGCATGTCACGGGTTGACCATAAGTGATTTATCGGAATTGTTTTCTGACTGCCCCAGTTTAGTCTGTACTTACATAACATTATTTATGCATCAAAGTGCTGTGCACCAAGTTGAAACAAAGCTATGAATGATATAAAGACTGTATAAGGGACACCCTGTATTTGATTGCAAGAGAGTCACCAAGAATTGTATAAAGATTGTATAAGGTTCACCCTGTATGGTGTAAAAATGTATATGAGACACCCTGTAGTGTGTAAAGATTGAATATGGGTCACCTTGACACTGTGTTCAGATTATACCACCCTGTATTCTGTAAAGATTGCATAAGGTCAACCATTTATGGTTTAAAGATTGTATAAGAGATACCCTGTATTTCTGAAAATTGAATTAGGGTCACCCTGTATTCTGTAAAGATTGTATAAAATCAACCATGTATGGTGTAAAAATATTGTATAAAGGTCAAATGACCTAGTATTGTGAAAAGATTGAATGAGGATCATCTTGTATTATACTATAAAAGATTGTACATCTTATATTCTGCAAATATTGTATGAGAATCATCCTATATGATGTAAAAATTGTATAAAGGACACCCTGTGTTATGTAAGATTTTATGAGGCAATAAACATATCTAGTTTTCTGAAAAATGTTGTCTGTGTGTACTTTGTCTGAAACCTGTTGGTTTTATATTACCATTCATCCGAAAGTCATTCACCGCAATAATTGTTTCAATAGCAATGTCTTCATTTTCAATGTCATGTTGTCTTTTTATTGAATTTAAATTTTCATGTTGTCATTTTCTTGAATTAAAACATATAGTGCACTCATAACTCTGATGAATGAAAGCTTTGAGACATCATTATTTTGTTTAGGATTAGAACGATGGTTTGGGATCAAAAGGATTTTGGCCAAAAAGTATTCAGAAAAGTGGTGAATGGACCCATGATATGCACCCATAAAACAATGCATCCTGCGTTATATCTCATTTCATCACAACAGTTGGTAGGTCTGTGTATAGCCAAAATATGGAATCATGTTTGATAAAATTGGATTTCTGGCTTATGCTGGTTATTTATAATGCAAACTTACAGGAAATCCTGCCATGTAATAATAATGTAAAGTATATATTTTTGGCAATATCAGTTATATCTACCTGCTTGGCCTACCACCCATGTCAAAAAATTATATTTTGGTCATCCACATTTTGTTATTTCCTTGCATTTCTCTTTTAAAAAGTTTCTGATTTTTGGGGATTTTCATAAAATTTGAAGTATTGACTTCATATGTAATTGCTTAATTGTCTCCAGATTTCACTCTTCCTTGCTATATTTTACATTTTAAAACATTCTCTCATTGGTCCATTCAGCTCCTGTGGTCATTCAAGGTGAATATTATAATGACTGTCTAGAAAATCCAGAATATTTTGTAAACAAGTCTGTTTTCAAACCTTGAAAATAATAATCCAGCATGTATGCAGACAGTGTACATCCTAAAAATAAATCTCATGATTATGGTCTTTTATGTTATACCCAGGGGTCTTGTGAGGTAAACTCTAGATGAGGCAAAGGTGTAAATAGGTGAGGCAAATTCAGGCTTGATGAGGTTTATAACTACCTTTGTAAAATTTGGTGAGGCTGTTGGCTCACATGCCTCTTGTTTGGCTACGCTTGTGTTAAAAAATAAGATTAAAAAAATTAATTCAGCACAACAAATTCAAATAAGTTCACTGAAATATAGGGGCGACAAAATGGATAGTCTTTATTAGAATAAAAATGAATGAAATTTTAATCAGATTTTATATCCTTAAGTATTCTATCAGTGCAGACTGCAGACACCTACTATTTCAACTCGGGCTGCTTGTTGTTAACAGTTGCTTGTTATAAATTATAGCTATTTGCCAAAAAAGCTGGCAAACAGTCAGAAGCTGATGTAATCAAGGTCCTTTTGGCTGTTGATCACAATAAAGAGCAGACATTCTAAATAAGATTATCAAATACTTTCTAATATTTTTAAAAGTAGATCTTGTTTGGTGGCATTTGGAAGAGAAGAAATCAACAATAAAATGTTGCCAAATTTTCTTCCCGGTAAACTGTTATTTATTTGGCGCTAAGTCTTGCATCAGTTTCTGGTTAACAACCTCGTCCCAAAAATCTATTTCCCAACTTTATACTTTGATGAACCTTATGCACATAGGAGCTGACGCAAGACTTAATTGTCTTAATCAATTAATGGTATGTGCATTTCCAATTGCGGTTCACCATCATATTATCTGTTGATATGGTTTTTAGGGCTTGCATATTTCACTGTATGTTCAGAGGAAATATCTCCATGGTCAGTACCCAGTTGTTAGAGCCTAGTGCATTAGGCAGATGAAGGTATGGGAAAGGGTAGTCATTTCTGACTTTCTTAACAGAGGCAGTAGTCATATGGCCGTTCTGTAGCATCTGGGAGTGCTCCACCTTCCTCTGGATCAAAATTTTCATTTCTACAATTCTGAACAAAATTGGTCAAATCCTCTCATGGAAATTGGCAGTTAGTCTGATTTACTGTTTGTAGCCAAGGATGTCAATGTCGGAGCAATTATTTCATGATTTGATATTGCAGTCTGGGTTTGTAGTTTGGGTTTTGTGGAAATAGACTGAATAAATAGGAAGTGATTAATAATTTCAGAATTAGAGATTTTACTGAGTGCATGGAGGGATAGAGGCTATTAATTATATTCAAGGAGTGAGGTTTTGTAGCTTAAATATACCATGTTATACATCTGCTTCCTTCTACGCATCTTTTAAGAATAAACGAACATACTACAGTAGTTAAATTTCATTCTTTTATTCTTTCTTTTATAAAAATAATACAGTTCTGAGTATATACATTTCAACAAGTCTTTGGTTTTTTCAATTCAAGATCTTTCCACTATAAAATCTATGCTATCAACATTTAAGACACCATATATGGCATACTCAGGCCACTGTCTTAATTGAAGCATTACAGATTTCATATTACTACTTTCCATATTAGATTTTCAGTTCCAGGAATTTTGATACAATTTCGAAACAGTTGACAGTTTTCAAAATAATTTTCCACTTCTCAAAATAACAGAATTTTGTGAATTAATTGACCATCTCAAAATTCTAAATAAATCCGAATCATCTAACATATATACTAATCACTTATTGTTCATACTGAACAAACAGTTTGCATTGAGTGTTGACTGGTTCAAATTGAACCACAAATCAATAATTTAAAGTCCATTTAACTTTCACAAGATAGTGCCCCTAATTTGGAACATGCCTTTGTGTAAGCTCAATGGTTAACAATAAACATAATACAAACTTAAATAATGCACAAAAAATTACAAGAACAATAAATGGAACAGCTTTATGTAAATGGTGGTTATTTACATTTGAATATGGAAACAATCTAGATAATTTTCGCAGATGCAAAAACTTTCATCTGCCGTTTCATTCATAACTTTATAACCTAGACATTTTATGACATTTTTTAACAAATGAATGGCCTAAATAAAAGTGTAACTTAGTACGTTTAATTTTTTCTAAAAGAGGTGTGTTCTTTTTTCAGCCAATGGTTTACACATATCAATTTATCGTCAAGATTGTAATAAGGATTTATCGATTTTTAAATTAATTTTTCACCATGTCAAATGAAAACCTATCTTGCTTTCAAAAAGTCAAAATATTCGTGAAGATAAAAATGTTACATTAAATAAGGTCTAAACAACACATTTTTGGCACAAATTTCGATAAAGTTCCAAATTTTGGAACACCGTCAACAGAAGATTGACAACATCGACTTGATTCTACGGTTGAAGCTGATGTAAACTCACAGAGATCGCACTCAACTTATGTCGGATTACTTAAGAGATATCACTATGACGTCAATGGTCGTTTTCCCGAAGGAAACTCCTCAACATCATCATAGTGTTACTCTTCAACTGTGCTTTTACATCTAGCCTTTTGTTGTGTTGTAAGCCATTTATGAGGTATAAGGGTGTAATGACTGAATGAATGATCTTTATATACAATCTATCTTACAGCATGGCTGGGCCATTATATACAGTATTCACGACATACAGCCGTGAACAATAAATTACGTTAAGCATTATATACATAATAGCATCTATCTGATTTGACAGAAGCTGCATTTAAAGAGCACAGTAGCGGCATCTAGTCACCAAAGGACTTTTAGGTGTTTAACCACCGTCACCATGGTAACCAGTTGCCATGTTGCATTGTTGTTGCTCTGACATAGAAGTTGGTTGAATTAGCACCTTAAAGCAGTTTTGAACACAAGTCCATGTGGAAGGGCCATGATGTTTCGACACCCTGTCGTTTCTGCTTGGTCAATGGAAGCTGTTGGCCGATAACGACATTGCATTGAGATTGCTTGTATTTTATCTCTTGCTTAGCAGTTATCATAAACTGGCACCATAGCTACTGTCCGCACTAATTGACATATTCTCGATGGAACGTTCATCAAGTGATACACCACTTGAATTGCGACTAATATTGTTCAGTGACATGTTACCCATGTCGACGCCTAAACTGTCCATAGGTTTCAACCAGCGATGATTCAATACCTCGTCTAAGGTTGGACGACTTGAAGGTTTCAATGATAAGCATTTTAAGATCAGGTCTTTCACTTCTGCAAATATACAAGAAGACGAGACATAAGAATACAGAATAAAATCAAATTATTATCAAACTAAACAAGGTCTAAAAGTCAGTTGGTACATAACACTTGGTGTCAAAAGCTCATCTTCATTTCAAGATAATCCTGCCTGCTTAAAAACATTCAAAAGCTCCACAAGTTGTTTTGACTGATTCCAGGGACTTCGATTTCTTTTTACCTTGACACTGTATGGCTACTGAGGCTGGTCATATAGGGACATGGATGTTTACCTTAAGTTATCCTCATAGAAAAAAATCATAACATTGGCATTTTTTAAAATCTAGCTAATTATTAACCAAACCACAACACGATTTGTTTAATGCCCTGTACAGTCAAGATGTAACAATTGATTATCGCACTATGTAACAATTAATCAAACTGACCAATGATAGTTGAAGTTTCCGATCGATGTATTGTTAAATGTACATCTGACACTTATATCATTAAAGGTGAGAAAAACAACTACATCAATTTAAGTAAAGCCTGGGGGATTACAGCATGACAATAAGAACATGATGTGTGTGGGATTGATGGATCAGCCTCCGTAGCTAGCTCAGACTTCATCCCTTGGCTCCCTGCCAACTCATCATTTAATATATCTAGCTTTAGTTGCGAGCTAATTTCTAATTTCAACCATGAAAATATTGGATTGGATGAGCTACTGACAGTAAATGCTATATGCCAACTGTGTGTATGCCTGTGTGTGGGTTTACCAAGCAATAATCCAAATTGTTAATTTCCCTTTAAAGTTTATCCAGTATATCATTTAATATCTATCTCATTAATAACAATATGCGTCTCATCAATTCAACAGTAACACAGGTTGCGTACTTTTCCAAATATTGATTTTTGAAAATTATTAACAAATGCCAGCATATCGCTGTATCAATTATGAAGTAAAGATGAAATGCGTAGGTGTCCAACATGCTATGGGATCGTGATCAGATTCATTGATTAAGAAAATTATGAAAGCAAGATTATGAAAGTATCTTACCTGATGATACTGAAGGATCTCTAAAGACCAAGTCGGCTTTACAGATCTGTTCATCTTGCTCGAAAGGAATGTCACCACACACCATATCGTACAGCAATACCCCGAGGGACCATACTGTAGCGGGGCGGGCATGATATCTGTTAGACTTCACCCATTCTGGAGGACTATAAACTCTAGTTCCTGAAAAACATAAACAATTGTTGATTAAATAAATGTGCTTTATGATCATACAATCATTAATAATGCACTTTTTGTTATAGCAGAGATAAAAGCTTGGCTCCTAATGGAACCTGATTTTCATTACCGTAACAGCTCTATTATTTATACGGAGGAGCATCATTATTCATTCAGTGACATACATTTTGAAGTTTATGCTATAACAATAGCTTATATTCAAAAATTATGTCACGTTTATCATACTAATGGAACCAAGTCAATTCTAATGGAAATCAAATATTACAGGTCCATATGTTATTTATTAGATATTTATGTTGAACCGGCCTAAATTCCTTAGTTAATGGCTTCTTTAGGAATCGACCTTCAGATTTACTATGGTTTATTTATTACTTTTAGACAGCTCTGACATAAAACTAGCAGTTGGGGAACAGCCCCTATTAAAACTTTTTATTTCTTTTCAAAAACCCAGACATAGCTTCTGTTCTAAGTTTAACTGTCTGAAAACCTGTGTTTTTTTATCATTGCACTATCATGTTCCCTGCCTTTCATGTCTCTAGCACATTCTACAATGTGACATGGAATATTTAGATATCTAAGTTAACCGGTACAGAATGACATTGCATTTGTCTGCATGAGACGTCATTTGCTCTTCACTTCAACTATTCAAGAACACTTCAAATATTGGTATAAGTACTAAAATTAAACAAACTGTTTTGAGTAAATCATGACACTGCTGAAAAGGAGTGCTAGCTCATCAATGGACACTTAACACATATATGTAGTATTTTTAAAGTACCATACTGTATCTACTATCTGGATTCACAGAACACTTGTTCGAAATCATTAATTAACTGTAGACATATTAACAACACTAACATATTTGAATTGGCAATGTGCCAATGATAGCAATGCAATACGCACGTAGCCACTGCATTATAATTCGTCAATATCTTACATATCCCGATTTTATGTTTTTATTACCAAACAGCTTTCCTTTTAAAATCTCATTTGAATACTTTTAAATTTTATAGGATTAATGATAGAATCCAGTATTGTGTACTATGTGACCCAGATTTAGATACAACCATATCACTTAATACCCGAGTCACTTATAATCTGAATATTATAATCTACTATACTAGCAATGAAAGCCTACACACTGGTAACATTTAAACTAATACATAAGGCATGTAACAAATTCCACTAGTATTCAAGTTTTGGTTTCAAGTTTAATCCTGGGTGGCCAGGAATCTGAATATTGAGCCATTGGTAGTTATCATGCCGGTTTTGGAATGTGCTTCTAAATCTGTCATTGTTGGTTAATGCATCTTGGAATGTATACTAAACTAGCCTGCTTAATTTTCCTGTGGGAAGATTAGCTGCTCAATACTCATGGAAAATAACAGACAATATTAATCGAATTCCGAGAAAATTTTTGCTTAATATAGTAAAATTGCAGTTTTCATACTCAAGTTAATGGCTTTCTGCTCCATAAAAATTTATAGTTACCCAAGGGGCCATAATTTTTGTCTAGCACTACTTTGAATAGGTCAGGTTAATTATATGTTTAGCACTATCGATTGTCTAACTGTCTAACGTCTGCGGATGTGTCCCTACAGTGCCACGAGAAAATCAATAGTTGTCCTAAAGATATTTCAGCAGATGGGATTAAATTTGGAAAGAAGTCGTTTCTTATTACCAGACACAATACTAGACACTTGCAAGGTTAGAAGAAAGCACATTTCATCAATTTATTCAAACATATTTCATGTGGGCATGATTCAAAGCCCATTGGCATTTACAGATTAGCTTCAACTACTAAATGTAGGCGTTCAATTCAGCTATATTCACTGTGTATAATCTCTCTTTTTATCTTTAATCTCAACATATGGCAATATCTCAACCAAACTTGAACTACAGGAAATGAAAGTAATATTTCATAATAAAAAATACTAGCCAAAATCACAATATTTCTGAACCCGAAAGTCCAAAAAATTCCCACCATATTGTACTTTAAAACAAATATCGATTTTCCATTTAACAGAATCTAAAAGACTCAAATAAAAATGTTGGCACAAGTCCATATCCCTTGCATATTAATGAGCGTGACAATGTAATATGTCTGGGTGAATAAACTCCTTCATGCAAATAAGGTGTCTGCATTACTGATTATATTCTAAACATCTACAACTACTTATCTCCAAGGGATGGGCAGTTCAAGATAGCGGAACACCCAATATTTTGGTTTTGAGTGTTGACCAAGAAATTCCTAAGTTAACCACATCCCGCTTGAGTTTTTATCTTTACACACCTCGGTTTGCATGCTATCTCATTACAGATGCTAAGGTAAAAGATAGCAAGTAAGAGATATATCCCGCCTTGGTTATTTCTAGCTTGCCTTCTTGAAACCTGAACCCAGCCTGTAGTAGATCTAGCATACCAGGAATACACTTTCCCTATATGGTAGGCCTAGCCATATGTTTTACATTGACAGCTAATACAAGCTTCCTACCAACTAACTGACTTGCTTTTGAGGTCAAACACATAAAATTATATAAAATAAAAAATAATATTTTTTTAATTAACTCAAGATTTTCCATGGAGTGTCTGAAGGGAATAAATGGGAAAATTCCATAAAGAGCTAGAGTTTAAAGTTGAGTTAGTGCTTTTTATCTACTGACGTCAATTGCATGTTGGTAAAACAGATGTGCAAATATTAACATAATATAATATTGATTTTCAATGCCAGAGTGTTGGCTTAGCCAAGCTTTTACCTTCAGTCAATAGAATTCTTTTCATTACCGCCTTCTATCACAGAATTTATATTGTCCATGATATTACATCGATTTTTCCAATACAACTACTTGCTAGCTATTAATATTATAGGTTTTTTCCCATTAATACGATCCCACAGTTGCATCAGTGTGTAGGTGGTTTATTATGATATGCAAATGAGTTACCATATATGGAAAAGGTACACAAAGTTTTCACCATATGGCACATATTATATTAATTAGTGTGTTGTCGGAGACACATTGTAAACATTCAGAAAACCGTGTGTACCTGTTCCCTATATAGAATAATTTAATTAATATAAATTAATTATAGATACTTACCATCAAAATCTGTGTAGACTGAGTCTTTGAGCAATGCACCGGAACCAAAGTCAATAATTTTTAGTTCCATAGAGTCTGTATCAACGAGAATATTTTCATCTTTCATGTCTCTGTGTACAACACCACACTGATGAATTTCTATTGTTGTTTGCACAATTTGGCGGAAAAAGTTTTTGGCAATATTTTCTTGGAGAGGTCCACTCTCTGTGATATAGTCAAATAAGTCTTTGGCAGGCTGTGGCCGTTCTAGGACAAGAACAAATGCATCGCTTTTTTCATAATAGTCTATCAAGCGGGCTACTCCATCCACATGGGTGACTTTCTTCAGAAGAAGAACTTCAAGGGGGACCTTGTGGCCATTCAACTGGAACAACAAAATATGTAACATTTAATAAACGCCAAAGGTAAACATCGATAGGTACATATGATATGACATTAATGCTCATTGTAACAAGAGTCATAAATATTAGGGACTGGCCCATGTCATTTTGAAACTTGATTGGTTGACGAGTACACTTAACTTGAGTTAGGTACCAACTTGTGCCAGGGAATACTACGTCAATAGTCAATATAGTGCTTATGAAAGTGAAATAGGTGCGTCTATTTACATGTACTTTTTTAACAACCATTCTTTTTCAAGTACTTTTAAAAGTACAACACACATTTTATTGAACCTTTTCGTGTTCAAATAAACTTCATGAATGGATTCACTTTTTACTAAAACTTTCTAACTTCCTGTTCAAACAATCTTTGTTAATTCAGAGTCAATTTAGCATTATTGATTCTACTGTGTTTTACTTTCAATACCACTTCAAGTTGTGAAGGTTAGAAACTGAACTAAGAGTAAGAGTACTTTTAATGGACAGTTGTAGGATTTCAAAATTTCAGTTGTTTTTTAGGGTACCTGGTTATGATTGCATAATAATGTTCCAATTTCACAAATTAACATAAGTCACACAGCGTGGCACGAGTGTAAGCTACCCATTTCACCCATATTATGAAATAAATCCAATAAACTTGGATCTGTTATCAAATTTTTTTGCAAGATTATTATAAGATCTATTGTTGCTAATGGGATTTGGCTCTGAATCAGGATTATTTTAAAGATAAACACCAATACAACAACAAATAAAATCTTTAAAAATGAGTACTTACATTGGCCCAGTCGCTAACCTTGGCTTTTTCTACATGTTTGACAGCAACCTGTAATATCAAAGAAATACCTGAGAATGGTGTATGATAAAAGATAAGTGTTGAGCATTTAATACTGACATAAGTAGCAGTTATTAGGCTAGTTTTTAGACTTTTGACGACAATTTCGTTCTCACCTCTGCCCCTGTATCTCTGTCTTTTCCTTCGTAAACAGTTCCAAAACCACCGCTACCTAGGACTGCCCCAAGGAGGTAACGCTTTTCGAACAATGCATATGATTTTGCTGAAAGAGAAATAAGCAATCCTAAGCCAGACATCAATGCATGATGATCGAATGGTGTTTTTTATGCGGCCTTTTTTATGAGTTGGAAACCAACAACTAGTAAAGTTGATTTTGATTCTATGACCATCAAACAATATATGTGCTTTCAAATGGGAAGCCCTTTTACAAATAATTGAGTCAACATAGGCTTATTCGACTTTTATAATCTAGACATGAGACTGACAAAATTCACAAGTTCGCCATATTGAAAATCCAACATGGCGGGGAAAAAACCCAAAGATTCCATATTTCTACTCACCACTTTTCTCTTTTTCTAGATGTTTAGACGATACTCCAGCACAGGAGAATACTCCTAGGCTTCCGAGCTTACGAGCTAGCATACTCTTACGACAAATTCAGTTGTGTGTGTTTTGTTTTAGTCCGATTTAAATGAAATAAATTGAGAGCTATCCTTTTCAGTGTTATGGATCCTGCTTTCGAATACAAATTACTACAGTGTGACCGTTACCAAGTTCTATCGTAAAATTAATACGCCGTCTGGGAAGGCTGACTTGGCATATCTCCAACACAGTCACCTTGGTGAAACATTTGCAAAACATGGAAAAATTATAGTGTCTTCTAGGATTCTAGATTAGAGAGCATTTGTGCTCGTTTCATTGTGGTTTTATACTTTTTTATCATCTAAACGTTTGATTATAACAAAGAACTATTTTTTTCACCCAATATTTTGGTGTAATCATAAATGTCTAGATGCGGTGCGAATCGACTGGCAGCATGCCAGTTCTTGACGCGCCATTCATACCAAAATCGATGGACCAATCAGATTTTAGGAGGGAAATTACCAACCAATCAGATACTTCACTATATATAATGAATGGAACATTGAATGGGTATTTCGCGGGAGTTTTCACTATCATTGTTTTAATTTTTACTACTTCTTTCAAAATACAAACAATTTTGAATTAGACTCTGCTAAAAGCAAGGCAGTGTATTGATGCAAGTGAATTGTTTTACAGAACTTTATATTATTACGAGAGTATCCCTCAGCTTGTTATACCCGAGACATATATATTTAAAATACACAAAAACTATCGAATCTAGGAATAACTTGGGGGAAAAAGTTCGATTTATATTCCTGTGTGAGGTGGCTTTAAACTTTGGAGTTTACTGAAGAAACAGAACGGTGTCGGTTTTGTGCGATGAATTCACGAATGTGATGACTTGCAATTTTGTGAAAACAGCAAGAACTATAGATGGCATCATCAGCTTTGCGGTTTACAAAAGTTGTACTTCTGCCAAAACTGAAATTCCGATCATTGTGTAAACGTTCCCGGGTCTTGAATTTGACAATGCCATTATTGATTGATTTTCTTTACCGGTAACATTGATTTGAATAGAGTTTCTACAACAGACCTCTGTATTGGTAACACGTGGATTTGTTTATAAACATTAAAGTTGGAAATAGTTCCATATTCTTTATTTTGAATTTTCAAATCCGACTTTCAGAAAAAGCAGTCGAAACTGAAAATTAAATTTAAATAACAATGTAAAAGTAAAAGAATCTTAACTTGTTTGATGTTTCATGAACACAGTCTAGTCATCATATGAAAATTCAGGCCCACTATCTATCCCAGGTATCTATCTACCAGAGACACATATTTATCATATCTCAATCAAGAACATATCCTTAATACCAATCGAATCTATCATTTAATTAGATGGTTATTTCAATTTTCATTTTTTCTCATACAAGGTACATATAAATAATAAATATAATAACTATTGAAGTATTTAACACACAGTTTTACTATTTAATGAGAGTCTAGCTACAAGCCCTTGTCAAACACCCCAAGACTTGAGGAAATACTGTTTATATAACCTACTCATCATCAAAATAACAAAACACATATAGACTAATAACAATGATATTAATTAACAAAATGAAACTGCGTATTAAAATGAAATAGTTAAAGAAATTGTGTTTTCAGTTTTGTATCTTTTTATTTATTCAAAGCACGTATAAGTGATTCAAATGTTGATGATTTTTGATCACTGGGAAGTGGAAATGATATTAGTGAGGATAAACAGTCTGAATCATTATTCCTGATTCCACTGGTTACACTTTCCGTTAATCATCGATCCCGCTAATCCAAAATATTCTTGGTACTCATTTGCATATCATAATAAACATTGGTTTCCTTGTTCGCGCCGTTTCTTTGTTTGGCCCCATTTATTAACCGAACATATTGACCGCTGATTGGTTAATTTTGAGTTTTCCCTCTACTCTTGAGTTTATTCTGATTGGACCAAAATATTGAACGTAGTGACGAGTTGGCTGAGGTCCAGGCCAAATTACTTAGTAGTCACGAACACGCCTAGTAAATACAGAATATAGTTCTTGTCTAGATTTCGTTTATTTAAGCTATGTTATCCATAAAAGTATGAAAATATGTGAAATGTAAGATTTTGTTAAAATACAACTGTCATACGGATATTTTCAATGATGCTTTTTTAAAACAATATTGGCGCTCGTCCAAATTGGGTGGTACAGACTTGCGGAGTAATTTTGACCTGACATTCCAAGTGAAATCGCCTCGTGAGTTCAAATGTCTCGAGTCAACTCAGTTCACATAATCGATCACATCAAATCACACAACTTGCTCGAAGTATCGGCAATAATTTTGGATTAACTGCAAAATACAAAAAACTAATAGCGTCGCAAAATGATAGCTCGGAAGTTAGGGAACCTACAGGTTCTCATTCAAAACAACCACGCCAATTTCCTCGCAGAGAAAGACAGAATGGGTAAGTTTTTAAACAGTTGTACAGTTGTAAAATTTTACAAACGTCACCATCTTGCTCTCATAATTTTCCCGGGAAAATATTATATTCAGTATTTTCATGTTTATGTTTTAGTCAAAGACAAAGAAACATTCGAAAAACAATACTATGTTGGTCCAATGCTTGGCAGTGGCGGATTTGGGACAGTATACGCAGGAACCAGAAGAAGAGATAATTTACCAGTAAGTTTCTGAAGTGTTCATCTTCCCCTTCAAATCGAAACCAAAAATGAAAATCACACTGGGCCAAACTCAACTATTTCCATTTATTTTAGCAGATATAAATGTGTTTTACATTGCGTTTGTTTTGTTTCAATCCAAATCTTTATAAATTTCTTTATATTTCAGGTTGCAATAAAACACGTGGGGAAACAGAAAGTTACAGAATGGGGACAGGTGTGTAAAAATTCTTTACAATCTCAGACTCTTTGTGCGAAGTTGTGGTCACAACCACATGGCTTTTTGCCAAAATTAATCCAAATATTATGGTAGTCTAGCTCATTACTATTACTAATTTGGAAAACTGTCATGAAATGTGGGCTACTTCTGGAATTTTGGAAATGTGTTTTGATTACAAATAATTCAGGAATTTTTTATTGTATTATTTACACCATGACTCAATTTGTAAGCTAAGTTGTCCAACATTTTAGAATCTTGCTGACACACCCCTCATTTTCTTATTCATGGAAATCCAAGTTGGTATCAGTTAAGCCAATAGAACAATCACATGTTAAAGTTGATGAATGATAAGGAATTTTGTAACTGGTCTTATCTACTCTAATATTGATGTCCACTTATCAGTTAACTTTCTGCATTTGTCTGTTTCTTAACAGTAGCTATTCTAGGTCAAAGGGCAACAATAAATAATAAACTCTTATAAAACATATAGAATTCAAAACAATTATCCGTTGTATGCCATTTTTATGTTTCTTCTTTATATTTTCAGTGCAATGGACATATTGTACCAATGGAGATATTATTGCTCAAGAAAGTCTCACACATACACGGTGTTGTGAAATTATTAGACTATTTCGAGAAACCAGACAGTTTTATTATGATTCTCGAACGTCCAGAGCCAGTAAAAGACTTATTTGATTACATAACTGAAAAGGGACCTTTGAGTGAAGATCTCTCTAGAGACTTCATACAACAAGTTGTAGAGACAATCATTTGCGTGCACAAAGCTGGTGTCGTACATAGAGACATTAAAGATGAAAACATTCTCGTAGATCTGAAAACTGGTCAACTCAAGCTCATAGACTTTGGTTCAGGAGCCAAGCTCAAAGACACAGTATATACAGATTTTGATGGTATGTATTTTTAGCTAATTTTGATTTGCTCTTGCATAACTATTCTGATTGTGCTAATACCCGACTTAGACTAGACCAACAAATCATTGGGAGGTCTAGAAACTTGTCTAGCTGGGAAGGTTAATCAGTTAACATTGCGTTTGTATTGATTAAGCAATCTACACAATGCTGTAGGTTTGTCTACTAAATTTACGATTGCCTGCAAGTTTTAACCCCATCTATGCCTATAAGTTTTAACTTTACCCATTATGATTCATCAAAAGAATTAAGAATTTAGTTCCTAGTTAATGTCATTATTCGATTGTATGATATAATTTACTGTTCTTTAAATGCAGTTGGCATAGATATCTCTAAAATAGAACGTGTCCTTAGATAATACAGACTAAAACATTAGATTGCACTCAAATTCGGCCACATCAGGTCTTGTGTTTTATATGGAACACTATATGGGTTATCGATTATCATATTGCATGCACTTTAGATTGCTAAGCACATAGTATTATGGGAACATACTTCTAGGACAGCATATGTTATTTAAAGGATTGCAGATAAAACAGAAATAGTAGATGAAATTACATTTCTCCCAATGTGGGAATAATTATCCAAGGTTACAACTATTTTGAATTTTAAGGACATGGACTTTGATCAGAAAAAAGTATTTTGTGGCTACTTTGGTCATTCACTTCGGTCCATCTAAGGTGACTGAGAATAGTATAACCTTTGACACGGCAAACAACATTCCTGAATAAACCCCAATATATGCATTTGACTTCCCGAGAATCATTAAAGAAATTTACCCAGTTGAACTTCAAGGGTATTTAGAGGGCTAGGTCTTTAGGGAGTGCGCTGCAGGGTTTAAAGGTCAAAGTGCCTGAACTGGCTGGTTTTGATATGCTTCAGTCATTTGATCTTTACAGAGGGATTCCAGGAATAACTTCAGTGTCTAGGTGGAGGTATTTCAGAATACAAACAGGCTACACAGTAGTTAGATTATGTGGGAGTTTCTATATCTACTTTTAGCTCAGTTTAGTCAGCTTAGTTTTCTCGGTGATAATACAACCATTCAATATGGTTAAAGATTATACTCGGTCAGTCGGTCTTATATAACATTAATAATATGGAATGCAAATATTCACTTCAGTGGCTACCAAATCTAGTTCATATTTTTTACATAACCAGAGATTCTCAAATAGCTCCCCAAATAGCTGATGATTAGTACATAATCAATATCATAACGGACATATAATTGAGGCCCAACCTATATACTTCGTAATATTGCAAATACGATTAATACTCAGGAACTCCCCCAGAAAAACTGATGATAAATTATAATTTATAACCCACATGCATGCGAGTAGAACACCCTGGTTTACATACTCAGACTGTAAATATTAAGATTAATGTTTTTTGTCGTGCACAAGAAAAAAACATTTGTTTTAGATGGTATATATGCCTAGAGCAACATATATTGACAATAATGGCCTGAGTTTTACATAATACATGATGACCACAATCACCTCTTATATTGCACGTAGGCTTGCATATCAGACATATAAAGTTAACGAAATACTGATAAAACAATGAATTAAATAATTATTTATTAAATTATATCCATATTATAGGTCTAGCTTTAGGGTATATGTACCAAGTGATCTTGTTATAAAAACGAAAACCAACAGGTCTTGTTTGCGCTACAAAGCCACAAGATCCGTTGAAATCCAAACTTGCACAAAAGCTGGAATGTACTTTATTTATTCTTCTATGAGATTAAATTGTATGCTATAGAATTCTCAGGCTCAATTTCCCGCCAAATCTTAACCAGTCCATAATCTGGGCCAGCCAGAGTTCATTCCATGAGAATTTCATAACACCCAAGTTCTCTACACTTCACTAGTGTGCCAAAGATTTATTTAATTAATCTCAAATTATGATTTTAAAACAAGAGGAGCTTATTAGTTATAAATTAGGGTGTCTATATATTGTATGCAGTAGTACTATAAGCATGCAGTGACTGGCTGATCAGTAGACAGCCTTGAGGCCAGCCAATCAGAACACACCATATGTTTCATGACGAGCCCATTCATTATCATAAGCTAGAGGTTCAGACGGTACATCCCATTTTCCAATATACCAGCATGGTACTGTTTGCTGTGTATACCTCTATACTTGAGCTCATTTCTTTCTCATCAAATATAGCCAGTCAATAATTTATAAGACTTGGCTGTTTTTGTTTTCTGTGATCATAGTAACAAGTAACGATCTAAACTGTGGGAACCAGCAAACCAGGGACAATAACCTGTGATCAATTTTTGATTTTGCAAAACCGTGAACTCAGGCTTGTTTCACGCTCGATATGTTTATACCAGTTGGTTTGCAGTTACCTGGACTGCGGGTGATTGATTTTACAGTAAACAAGTCAACACTGTTATTCCTGGCATTATTTTCAAAATCTCAACATATCAATCATGTACCACTGGGAGATGGCCACAAAAATACTTTGTTAATGAGCTGTCTGGTTATGTGATGGTAGAGTGAATCCATGCTATTACTGCGTGCTACCTACAAAGTCACATTCCTGTACCCATGATTAACTATAAATACTTTTTGGACGGTCTTATCATCACATGGTGGGCTGATGTTCAGCTCATAATGCTTTGATGTTTTTGATATTGCATCCTTGGGTGGTATTTGAAAACAAGCTGGTTGTGAAAATTTAATTGTTGACAAAACAGTTGTAAGTTATAAGACTGGTAATTATCACCTTTTACTTAACGTTAACATTGCATACTTAGCTCTTGTATTAACGATGAATTGGCACAACTTTAAATCCTAGGCCTTACATATAGTTTATAAGTCAATTTATAGAGGTAATATAAATATATATGTTAGTCAAATTTGGATTAATAGGGTGCTATTATAAGATTAAATCAGTAAAGCTCGTGTATGCAGTCCAAGTAGTAAGTTGTTTGTTAGCTTTATCCTGAACTAGTTATGAAAGTTATAGTGGTACAGTGTGTGTGTTATATAACATTATTGCCTTCAGAGTTATTTTAGTGAATTCCTGTTGTTATCAGTGGACACACATTGTGGTAATTAACTAAGTTGTATCTCATGGGAAACGGTTATTGAATGAAATATAGGCATGTGTCATAATAGTGCATTTGACATTTTTGGTAGTATGTTATGTAAGTAATTAGGTTAACGAAATTATAAGGCACCTTTGGGCAGAAGATAATATTAGCATTTATTTAAATGGTATGTACATCCTTTAAAAATATGAGAAAGCACATTTAGGCAGTATTTCATAATTTGGAACTTGTTTCTTATGTTTTTTATCATTTTCTGCTTCCAGGAACAAGAGTGTATAGTCCACCTGAATGGATCCGTTGTCATAGATACCATGGTCGCCCAGCAACTGTATGGTCGCTTGGTATACTCTTATATGACATGGTCTGCGGGGACATTCCATTTGAGCAAGACGAACAGATCTGTAAAGCTGAACTCTCATTCAAACCTGGTCTTTCAGAAGGTGTGTAAGGTTTACATTCAATATACAAAAATAGCTTTTGTGTTTCACCTCCGGATGGGAACACCCTCTAGCATGCAGCATGCAAACATCGAAAAATTCTCACAATAGTTTTATCACTCCCCTTTTTAGTAAAACATGTCTGATAAGATTCATTCAAATGGACTCAATGCCTTTATAGAAATGTCAAAAACTACACTTATGTTCTGATGTTATGTATTTCAAGATTTACAAGCCAATTTAAAATTCTCATGACTTGAGATGAGTAGTCTCAAGGGGATCTTATTAGTGCATTTGGACTTTGTTCCAGTAATTCAGTGCTAAAACAATGATTGATATAGTTTTGTTTACATAAATCTTATGACACTGACTTCTGCGAACTACAACATCCCTTTTAGGAACTATTTCTTCCCTTGTAAACATCAAGTTTTGAATAAGCTTCACCATTTTTTGGAATTTTATTTTTCTCAATTGTAAATAAAATATAAAGGCATTGATTTTATTGCTTGAAAGTAAAGTAAACAAATAAATTCTAATGGTATGTTTGTTCAAATGTAAGGATAGATGGTCTATTTCTTGAACCTAGTTCACAGTTTATCATGAGCCTGGTAGATGCAAGGCAAAGTACTTAAGTTGAGATCACTTGAAAAAATTCCTCACATATCTCATTAAATATTTATGCTGTATTGTACTATTGTACAATTGAGGACTACTGAATAATAAATTCTTCTGTTTTTGTGTTTTTAGAAGTTCAAGACCTGATTAGCAAATGTCTGTCTGTACGACCATCTGACCGTCCTAGTCTAGAAGAAATATTACAACACCCTTGGGTGCAGGGTACAGAGACAATTGTAGATCTAGAAAAATTAACAATCCGGCGGATACCCGCAGATGAACAATCTCTGGATGAGCAGTCAACGGGAAGCCAAGAGAGCCTCCCGTGCTAACATCACGCCCTCTGGTGGCGCATACGTGTAATACATATCACCCACTGCTGAAGATTGCGACTTTCTAGAGATGAGGCCCACATCGGCGTTACTCAGTGGGATCGTCCATGAATAGACAATCTGATCGAAGCATTCACTCCTTATTAACATCAGGGGTGGATCTAAAGATCTAAGGGCACAGTGCACATCAATGCAACATGAACTGTACAGATAGTTAAATGAATAATATTTATTATTGTAAACTAATGTCCTTATGAGATTATGCAAGCATACCAAAGAATTATGAAAGTTGGTTATTATTTATTTCAAACTGTGTGAACTTTGTATATTTGAGCTGAGAGTAGTTGTGTGACTGTCATTTGTGATGTGAACTTGAAAAAATGATAACCACATTTTCACTGAGAATATTAAAGTGCATAGTAAGTTATTCCTGGTTTAGTTGGTTGAATGTTTTAAATTCTTTAAAACATAAGAACAGATCTGGACTTGGTCGATATTAACTGTACATATATATCATATGACTGTAACATATCACATTAACTTATTAGGTGTCATTGAATGTTGAAGAACAATGATTAGAATCCATGTCTTCCAAATGTACTGGCCCTTGTATACTAAGTCGGGATCCTACCTTGGGAAACGGCTTAGTATAGGCCTATAATATAACTACCTCATACCTCATGACAGATCTTTGTTGACACCATCACTATGGAAACGATTTGTTGTGCAACATTCAATGATGCCCCAAACATCATGTATAAATTCATAATATTTATTATTGATACCTACCGAATGTATGTTCTCTTACCTCTTAACCCTATTTCTGGTAATTGACACCTGAGAATTTTAGTGTATTGTTTTAGTAATAAAATTTTACCTCAATATTCAGTTATGGATATACAATCAAAATTGACATACTAACTTGAATCTTGTTATTGGAATCTTAATTCCGTACTTATATAGCCTTATGTCAACACTGTCTAAATATTATTTGAATATATAATTGTAAATAAGAGAAAAATATATTTTTATAAATAAAGAATAATGAAAATTTTAAAATTAATTTCTGATTGTTGTGTTGGATTTTTAAAGAACCTTAAGTTGAACAAAATACTAGTGGTAGTAGTCATGTATTTGGATACACCGCCCCTCCCGCATAAAGACTAAATCCGTTGAGCAAATAATTAGCAGTATACTAGTAAATGTAATGCAAGAGTCTTGAAAGCCTATATAGGAATTACTACCTTCCATCTGTGGCTCCATCTTTAAAATAAACGCACGTGGTGGGCGATAATGCAGTATTAGAAAGCGCATGGCACACAGACAAAGTAGTTCCCATTCAAAACGTGGACGCATCATCTCAGGGTCACAGGTGATAACGAGTACAGTGAACCCTAAATCTTATACAATGTTTGGTAATACCTCATCCATGGGAATTTATCTCTCTGACACAGTTAATGGTGTTACAATAATTGTCCCACTTATTTTACTATTGAGTGACTAAGGATTATGCAATTGCCCTGGTCAAGTTGTCTATGGTATACTTCAACTTTGAGGACGGGGTCATTCTTCCAGGGTCATTCTTTCACTGTGTCCAGTCGCCTGTGGTAACTAGATATTTCTACATGGCACAAATCTGCCTACTTACAACTGCTGACTGTCCCGATGGGATGAGCTGGGAAAGATTTACGATAGTAGCTCGTCCGGGCATGGTCCAAGGGGATTTCATGTCTTGTCTCCTTGGCACGGCGAAGCCCTATCTTGAAGGATGGTATAGCTCTATTTTCTGGTGAACTTACTGTTCAGTACTCCCACTTCTCCCCCCATATGCTTGAAATAAGTGCACCCTGAACCCGGTATCCTGAATGATTCTTCTGCGCTTTTCAACAACCGGTCCCCTCCCGGGACGTATATATTTCGTGAATAAATCAAATAATAGAACTACAAATTTAAGGGTATATCAACAATTGGAAACATGATCCCAAAATGAGTTCTTAAAACCCCGGCTTAAAACTCGAGAATAGGAAAGAGATTTGGACAAAAGAAAGGGAAGTAAAATTTATATTTAAACTCTGTGGTTTCAACGAAATCCGTATTTACCAACAATGAAAAAAATACTTTAAAACTATCTAATCTGTGTTTTTATGGTTTGTATTTCAAATTCTAATTGATAGTGACAGTCCAAAGTCAAGGGGCACATCCTTGCATTGTATTCATATAGATGCTGGGAGTCAAAATTTCCGATCCAGTTTGCATCCTTATTTTTCAAGTGCATCCCTATTCATAACCCTTTTCTTTGACATTTTTTCGGGAAGATAGATATTTGAATTATTTTAGGATGTTATTTCGGTGTTTTCTGATATGTTTGACGGGTACACAGGAAGAGTAACAGGCATCGACCTAGGAAAACATTATTTTAGTGCTTGAATTTTTATGGAGGAGCTGTCATGCCCATCAAAGTCATTCCCCGAGGGTCGTAGCCTAGTACACACATTAGATAAAACTCCCGACGAAACTTGCTCTTAGCAAAATCTCCGAATGGCACAATCACAGCCTAGTCCTTCAAGTCATGGACCTCAATCCCCTGGACCAGGGCCCGGGAATATAGTTCCATGTTCAAGTCAAGTCTACCCCCCCCCCCCATCATTTCTTTTATGAACTACTGTAACGCACAACAAGTGCAGATGCCATGATGTGCATGTTTGCGTTAGGGGGGATGGAGGTACACGAGGACTTGATGGTGCGAGTCAACCTTTGCAAGACTGGCTATGTATCTATAAAATATATATTCGACCTATTTGTATTTGTATCAAAACGGTGTGAAAGAAATTATGGTCCCACAGGGATTATGGTCCCCCTTTTAAAGGCCCTTACTGGCCCTGATTGTGTATAAGATAATAAGGGAAAGAGCACAAAGAGGTCACCATATAAATCAATGGAGAGTAGGACCATAAATTAATAGGACCTTCTACCCTTTTACACCTATATCAATCCGGGTATCAAACCTTTTGTACCTACCCCTCTCTACACACCCTGGGTGGAAAATTCTATGAATTGGACTTTATTAGGAGGCCCTTCCAAGGGGCCTCCTATAGTTTTTGTAGTTATTAGGAGGCCCTTCCAAGGGGCCTCCTATAGTTTTTGTAGTTATTCTTCTTATTATTCTTTTTAGCACTTTTTCTCCTACTTCTAGCTAGGTCTGAATTAACTCTTATATGCTCCTACTAGGGACATGAGCTGGACTTGTCGGGAAATTAGTTCATATCTAGGTCAAGGTCAAAGGTCAAAATCTAGGTCAAATCTAAGTTTTTTTTAAGTTTCTCAACGCCTGACACTAGACTTCAACATTTTTGGCTGATTTTTTGCATAGAGATAGATATTAGTATTCTATTAGTGTTAGCCTTTTGCCGTCTGGACGAATTTTGCCTACATTTTGAGATATTTGACGTCAAAAAACGGTCAAAAAAGGTCATTTTTCAACTTGCTTCAATTTGACCAATTTTTTTTTTAAAAAGCATTTACAAAGTCTCAGGAGTTCAAATCTGACCTCAGATTTGACCTTTGACCTTTAGTTGACCTTCTGTGACCTTCGAAAGGTCAAAAAAGTTGATTTTTCAAATTGATTTTTTGGATTCAAATTTAGGTCAGCTTAATCACAAAGGACATACTGAGCTCTGAAAAAGTAAAATTTTCAAGGTCAAAGGTCAAGCTCATCAAATTAGATAACAAACTGTGCTATCTAAGTTTCTCAAAATTGGAGACTACAAATCAATATTTTTGGTTGAAAGTCAGGATATATATTCATCTAGAGGTACTACACATATTAGCAATTGACTATCTATTAAAATTTTGCACCAGTTTTGAGATATAAGAGCTCAAGAACTGAAAAAAGGTCAAATTTCGAAAATTTTGAAGGTCAAATTTTAACTTGCTTCAAATTGACCAATTTTTTTTTTAAAAAGCATCTACAAAGTCTCAGGAGTTCAAATCTGACCTCAGATTTGACCTTTGACCTTTAGTTGACCTTCTGTGACCTTCGAAATGTCAAAAAAGTTGATTTTTCAAATTGATTTTTTGGATTCAAATTTAGGTCAGCTTAATCACAAAGGACATACTGAGCTCTGAAAAAGTAAAATTTTCAAGGTCAAAGGTCAAGGTCATCAAATTAGATAACAAACTGTGCTATCTAAGTTTCTCAAAATTGGAGACTACAAATCAATATTTTTGGTTGAAAGTCAGGATATATATCCATCTAGAGGTACTACACATATTAGCAATTGACTGTCTATTAAAATTTTGCACCAGTTTTGAGATATAAGAGCTCAAGAACTGAAAAAAGGTCAAATTTCGAAAATTTTGAAGGTCAAATTTTAACTTGCTTCAAATTGACCAATTTTTTTTAAAAAAGCATCCACAAAGTCTCAGGAGTTCAAATTTGACGTCAGATTTGACCTTTGACCTTTACTTGACCTTCTGTGACCTTCGAAAGGTCAAAAATGTTGATTTTTCAAATTGATTTTTTGGATTCAAATTTAGGTCAGCTCAATCACAAAGGACATACTGAGCTCTGAAAAAGTACAATTTTTACGGTCAAAGGTCAAGGTCATCAAATTAGGTCACAAACTGTGCTATCTAAGTTTCTCAGAATTCAAGACTACAAATCAATATTTTTGGTTGAAAGTCAGGATATATATTCCTCTAGAGGTACTTCACATATTAGGAATTGACTATCTATTAAAATTTTGCACCAGTTTTGAAATATAAGAGCTTAAGGACTGAAAAAGGTCAAATTTAGAAAATTTTCAAGGTCAAATTTCAACTTGCTTCAAATTGACCAAATTTTTTTTTAAAAAGCGTCTACAAAGTCTCAGGAGTTCAAATCTGACCTCAAATTTGGCCTTTGACCTTTAGTTGACCTTCTGTGACCTTCGAAAGGTAAAAAAAGTTGATTTTTCAAATTGACTTTTTGGATTCAAATTTAAGTCAGCTTAATCACAAAA